AGTTACTAAAACTTCAAAGAGAAAGCTTTGATCAGCTACAAATCTCTGAATGAGGAACGAAAAGTCATTTTTTCCCTTTCAGAGCAATAGAAGGGCCTGCTCAGAGATGAAATATATTACTAAAATATTATAATTTGAGCTATCGAATGGGTACTTGAACATCAAAAACGACCAGAAAATACGTTTCTTCCAAGGCCAGAGTGAGGAGCGGATAAAATAAGTGATCTAGTTTTTCAAAACCTAATCTTTTTTGGCTGCTACAGTGTAATGCGGGGTCGATTTTGAAAATCGAATAAATTGTCGGAGTTCTTAAGATTTGATCTATCGACCGAATATTGAAACTCCGAAGGAAAAGCTCGGTCAACAATAAATCTGTGTATGAGAAACAAAATATTATTTTTCTCTTTCAGCGCAATAACAAGGCCTCTGTGAAGATGAAGTACACGTTCCAAACTCTTTGATTTACGCTATCGAATGATTATTTAACCATCAAAAATAAGTGCAAAACAAGGTTTTTTTGAAGGGTCGAAATGGCGCTCAACGGAAACGTACCAAAAACAACTGAATAAAACAAACTGCAAAAGAAATTGTGGGGTAACCCAGTAAATGAGGGTAATCAGCTAGGGTTGTTTTTGAGAAATGTTTGCCTCTATAGAGACTTGAAGTGATTTGCCGAAGCACAATTGTACAAATCGACGGCTAATTTAGTTTCAGATTTGCAAAATGCTCCAGAGAGATAAAAAAGGATAAAGAGAGAAGAGCTGTATTTGCGGTCTATGCCACACATGAGAAAAACATTCGAGGCTTTTTAAGTGTCGTCAATTGCAATACTACCACTATTGCACTTTACCGTTTAGACAACGACACCTAGGGCAGTTTAAGGAGAACATTTCTTAGGTGCATATCAACACCAGCTTTTCTATTCACACGATCACCTGTCGTACCGTTGATCGCCGAGTGGCTCGAGCGGATACCAGCAACACTTGCATTTTTCCCTAACGCATGCTAGAGTAGCTCAGTGGGTCCTCCTCGCTCTAGGGATTCGCTCAGGATCATAATTTCCTTCTATATCTTTTGTGAAGAAATCGGACCATAGGGTCGGTGGAAACCATGTAAAGCGCTTGATATCCCGAGGAATGCGGTCGGTAACGGCTCTCGTCCATCGGTTGTCGTTGAAGCGCACCACGTGTCCGGCCCACCTTATTTTCGACATCCTGGCGTGTAGAACGGCGTCTCTGATCATCGATCGTTAACGTAGGTCGCAACTTCCGATCCTTTCTCTCATTTGCGAGATACGGGATACTCCCAGCATCGACCTCTCGATTGCGCGTTAAATTACGCCATGTGATCTTCAATCACGCTTACGTAGCGACCAGGTTTCTGCTCCATAAGTTAAGGTGGGGATAGCCATCGAGTCGAAATGGTGGGCACAAAGTCGTATGCTCTTTATTCTTTTCATTACATCCTCGATGCTCTTGTACGTTGCCCAAAACGCTAGTTTCCTCCTGCTCATCTCTGGAGCTATATCGTTCAACATGGTGATTTCACGACCTCGATAGACGTAACTAGAGCATTAGGAGATTGTCGTTCCGTTAAGCATGAATGGAGCATTGAAAACCCATCCGTTCTTCATAAGCATCGTTTTCGCTAGATTAGTTAAAAACCAATCTTTCCACAGGCGTTGTCGAAACTGATCAACATTCGCTCTGCTTGGCTGATGCTTGGTGTTATGAGGACGATATCATCAGCAAGCGTAAATGTTCTAATTGTCGACCGTCAGTTTTAACTTCCATATCATCTCCTTCTAATGTTCGCATGACGTTTTGGAGGACATGTCACACAATATATGTAAATATTCAAGGATTTTGTTTATTCCAGTCATCTTAAAAAAAGAATGAGAGAACACTGGACGTTGGACAACTATGTGAACAGATAGGATTTTAGAAGGTTTTCAGTGCCTTGAATAATATTCACCTTAGTGACACGCAGTGAAGCTTAGGGAGAGTACAAAATATTGCTCTCTCTCTCTTTCTTTCTCTCTGTCCCTCTCTCTCTCTCTCGCAGTCCATTGATTTAAAGCCTTTGTCTTGATCAAGATGCAGTAATAGAAGCTATGCAGTGCTAGTGCTTTAAAGAATCTTCTTAGTGCCCGAAGATTCTTCGTCAGCTTTATGATGGTACACACTGAAACTATCACTATTTCCAAAACAGCATTGCAGCAAAGGTTTGAAAAAGAGCTAAATAAGGCCATAGCGTGTGTTGAAATCATTTTCTCCCATCATCAAAAACCTTATGTGTGCAGTGCAATGACATTGCGAGATATCATACGATTATATATCGGTGATCACTACTTTCATCATTTTTGCGCTGCTGTTGACATCATTATCGCAATATCAAGCAATAGCAACGAAATGCTGGATAATTTTCAAGAGCATGGAGGATGTGGTGGGAAAGACAAGAAACACTCTTGGCATTCAGCGATTTTTCCTGTCTGATTATCTGCTCCAGAAACGAGAGCAATACGTATGCAGGATAAAAGGATGAACTCAGCATCATCAAATGCACATTCTAAGTGAGGATATTGGGAGTACCTCGTAAAAGACCTGAAGCCCTAGGTGAAAAATCAAAGACACCACACTGTACGTTACTCCAAATTTCCTCTAGCCGGATGAGTAAAATGCATAATGCCGTTTTACGACAGCCGACGGACAAGAAACCGTTACCAACTGTAATTTTTTGTATGTCAAACGCGCAGCAACATAATCATCGACACAATGGCCTGATTTATTCTCGAAAATTCTGAAAGGAAGCTATGATATGACAACATATTTTTTGACCTTTCCATGAGGTCTGTTATGATACTCATGTACTGCAAGACACGTGTTTTTGCCTTACAGCCTCATCAATTGCGCGGTGCCTATCGGTTCAGTCAGTTCTTCGCAGACACATCCTTTATATAGAGGAGTCGACGCCGAACTATTTACACTCGACGTACAGTGAAGAATCATCGTGGCGTTCCTTTAGAGTGATTGATTGTCAACTGCATGGCATACGACTGTCACTGAAAATCCGTAACATTATTTTTCAACCCACCATTTTCAGATCTCGCTCAAAACAGTGTAGTCTGATAACATAGAAGCTAATATATATTTGCCCATTTTCTCAGACTGAAAACATTTTCTGGATAATCAGTCATAATTCTTTCTATTTTGACTGCCACCAGTGGTATGGTGTTAGAGTATACCCAATATGTGGAGTACTGTGCAAAAACGTTCGCGTTAGCCGGGATTTGAACCCAAATCTCACTCTTTCCGGGAGCGAATGCTAACCGTTGCACCACCGACGCTCGTTTTGCACAGCACGCTTATTTAAGCTGTAACGCGTTGTCTGCCAACAGCCAACCGTCGACGGTCTGGCGGGGCAGCCGCTACTCCACATATTGGGTATTCTCCGGATATTTCTGGGTGTAAAAGAAAAATTAGGTTCTGTGGCACTCGCTTGAGGCACTCAATGATCAGCGAGACGACAGATAATGCGGATAGCCCAGGTGATAGGATTGAGGCACTGTATGCATATTCACGCATCGTCCACCACTTCTTCAGTAGCTACCACTTTTACGGAGCTGTGACAAACGTTCTACTTCCTGCCAAAGTTGAAGAATTGACATAAACAAGTCAACGATTTCCAGCATGTAAATCAGGATTGCCTTTAAGATAATGAATTATGATACGACGACCACCTACACGTTGGGCGGGCGTATTCACTAGAAGAATAAACCAGCTGTAATCATCTCTATATTCGCATCAGCAGTATTCGTGCCTGCCGATATTCTACAGATCACGGTATGAAACTCACACCAGCGGCTATGCTCGAATGAAACCACCGCCGCGGAGCACAATCGCGAGAAGACGAGACGAGTGGAAGATGTGGTGGAGTCCGCACAATTTGCGAAAATGGACGTCCAAGTATCCAAATAAGTAAGATACACTTTAGATTCAAATACTGAAATCTTGGCAGGTCGACTTGCTTGGAAGAAAGGCGCTTGCGATGCTCGTAAATCTGTAACTAATCCTTTTTGTTGTCCTTTTGGGACCTGACCGATCACCTAACTTTTACAATTTAATCTCTTTATATGCGTTTTACAATGATTTCTATAGCAGCTGTCCACAAATGCCTTTTCTTACATACAATTTGCATTCATTGTAATCGTGAATACTTTCACGACAAATTTGTCTCCTATCTTCATAAGAGGTCGACAGACAGTGTTGCATTGAATGTCGATAGTTTGCTAGTTTTCCATTTCGCCAATAGCATGTCTGCGACTATGTAGATAAAGGATAAAGGATAAAGCTCTCGGCGTTGATCAATCCCTGAGGGATGCGCCATACATTCGACTTCAATTTTTAACTTCGTTTGAGGTGATTGAATGCATATCTGGCCTTTACAATGACTCGCGGTGGCCTCCCGCTGAACCGAGTCAGTGCTGCTTATCCTCCAAGACAAGTCTGAGACCTGTCTGGTACCAATTTACCGACCCCGTAGGGATGGATGGCTTGGTGAGCCATGAGCGCGAGATCGAACCATTGACCTCGTGTGCGGCGCAGGGCACCTCTAACCACTGCGCCACATGCGCTCATATGTAGATAACCTGCTTGATATATGTTGACAAATTCAACAAGTGCTCTGATATTGAAAGTTTGAAAACCGTTCACTTTGACTTTCTAGACGAAATTTTCTAGACGATCAATATCAACCAATTTATCCCTTAATTGCACGAGGAAGTGGTTCCAATCAGAGGTTGTATGTTTTAAGAAGCAGAGATTAACTAACACCTTGTGTAAATATTTCTCACATGGCAGGCTGAAGTCATTAAAAAGGCTTGCATAGAGTCAAATATAGCCTGATAATCTCTTCGAAACTTCTAGTATTTTTACCGCATTTTTCGCAGTGCTATTATGTTTCATATCCACCTAAGAGAATTGAGTGGTGAGCAAAACCATAGCCTCAGGCAGAAATCGAACCCGCGTTTCATCATACGGGGTTGACGCGTGCTCTATCACTATACCACGGAGGCACGTTTGAACCACCACTCATTCTTCAACATCTCTATGTTAGCTATCAGCCACCAACCTTTAACAAGTTTGGTCGAGTATGCGATTTCGCTTCATAAACCCGGTTGAGCTGACAGCCATTCTAATTACTAGTTCTTGAGATTTCTAGTATTTTTATTAATTTTTTTGCAGTATTATTAGGTTTCATGAACATCTAGAGAATTGAGTGATGGGCAAAAACGCGGCCTCAAGTGGGAATCGAACCCGCGTTTCATCTCATTCGGGGATACGTGCTCTACCACTACACCACTGAGGCACATTTGCGCCACCACTCATTCTAGCATTGGACAGACATGTCGTAACATAAAAATTTATTTATTAATAACCTATTTTAAAACCGCTTATTCCGCTTTTCTATACAAAGATATGAAACCATCTAACCTAGTCGTATGCGTAAAGCTTTCTACGTGTTAACAAATCATTCAAAGTTCGAGCATTGGACAAACATGTCGTAGCTTTTGAAAATTCGTTTATTACAGGAAAACAACTGGGACGTACAAATCTTTGTTAACAAGATGCGACTTTTATCACTCTACATTGAAGAACATCTTATTTTGGAGGCCACAAAGCATACTTTTTCGAAATTCATCTGATTCAAAACATGAGGCAATTCTTATTAAAACAAGAACTACTGTGACCAACCAGAATGGTTTTTCAAACACAAATCAATCATTGTCTCCGCACTAGAATATGAGGATTTTAAGAAAAACAAAATTTTACCTTCGATTAATCTTCTGTTCAACAAGTGAGAGTCAGCACCTCTCTTCTACATGAGCCTTTTCGGATAATGTCGAGGTTTCGGGATCTGTCGAATCAATTGACTGTCGAAACAGTAACGGCAAAACTTTCGGTCATTGTGAAAGATCGTTTAGAATTGAAGGATCTGTTATGAACGACCCAAGATAATCTACTTCAATGGGATGATCTTTATATGAATACACAGAGCTAAGATGCGAAAGTATGGACAATAACTCCTGAATTCTGTCTTAGAAAGTTGAGTGCTCGGCTAGTCGCCGAAGGGCGCCACTCATCCCTAGGTGGGAAAAGGAGGCTAAGACGGATCTGAAGCGACCTTATGCTGCTTTGAGATGCAGGCAGGTTCAGAAGATCACCTTCAGTAATTAAACCTTTTGTTTAGTCTTGAAGAGACCGATAAACCACACATCACTGTTCTCAGTTGCAACGTTGAGGACTTACTGAGCTGTTGCAACATGCGATGGCAAAAAGTTCAGTGTCATTGGAGTCCTCTATACAAGAGATTTGGCAATAAGGACTAAATCATTCAAAACCTAGCAACCTGAATCGGTCGCTTTGGCTGAAACGAGGTGGTTCAACACCAAGTATTTCTAACTATCTTTGTTCCTTGTGCATCAACACTAAGCTAAAATAAAGGCCGAGTTGGAAAGTTCTACATTACGCAAATAAAGTTTCTTGGAGAATGCCACAATTCCTCGAGATCGCCACTGGAGATGGGAATACGAAAATGGAAGCCAGAAGAACGCCTGAAAAGCGTCATCAGGTGTTACGGAGTGGAACGCAAGGAACAGGCTGAGAGGCTGCCTGAGTTTATTATGACGACAAAGTCACGGTAACTGACAGTTTCGCAACTGTACTCTCAGAGGTGGACGAGAATCCTCAATGGAGAGGACCATAACTGAATAAACGATATCCACGTAAGTCGGAGCCTCTGGCTAACTAAAGTTGCTGTTGTTTCAGAATTTAACACGGAGATCAGACCATCGTCTCCTTCGCGCAACATTCCATTTTCGCGCAAAGGAGAGATAGCCATTAAGTTTAAACTGTAAAATCCCGGAACTATCGTGAACTAAAATGTATTCAATTATTAGCCACCTTCTACGGAAACTCTGGAAGATACAAAGAGGTGTTCCTCTTCACGAACACGCGAGTTTATACGTTAGGGTGTTTTCGCACAAGTTACATACAGGCGAAACCTCACATCAGCGCTTGCAAAACGCTGCAAAGATAATAAGGATCTCAAAGAAAGAATTCCAGCCGTTATAGCCAAAGTTGCAAAAGCTAAGAAGAGCATTCAAAAAGCCCATAAAAACCTTTCCAATTACAAGACCAAGATTATTACGCAGTGACGCCCTGACCGAATAGTTACAGCTGTCAGAATTAGCCAACAATATCCGCAAGGATTTTCAAACATTTGCAACTGGGCATTTGGTGAAAGACACATACTTTACCGAACTTTGATGAATTTCTCCCCAGAGAGGCTTTTTGCTCCAAACATCACTCCAACTCAAGCAAAGGATTATCCTCCAATGTTGAGATGGATGGAAAGTGGAAGTATATGCGACGATTTATAGTTTCAGGGCTAGGACGGCCCAAGAAGAGAGGGAAATGCCTTAAATAATTTAGAAAAAAGGTTAACATGCAATCTATCTCTCCAAATCACTTTTTGATTTCACAGCAGCTTGGAAGTCGGCATATGCTCTCCCCATGCATATGCCTTCTTGACACAATGATCGATGCTAAAGAACGAGATGTACTTCAGCTTTCTTAAAGAGATAATGGAGATTAATGCTATACATGGCATATAGAGCACTCGGCGTTGATCAATCCCTGAGGGATGCTTCATGCATTTTTCTACAACTCTGAGCTTCGTTTGAGGTGACTGAACGCATTTCTGGTGTGTATAATGGACTCACATTGGCCTAACGCTCTATTGGGTCAATGCTATTCTACTCACAGACAGTTCTGGTGCCAATTTGCAGAATCCTGAAGGATGAATAGCTTGGTGCGCCATAAAAGCGCGATCGAACCATTGACCTTGTGTGGGACGCATAGCATTCTGTCATACTGAAGCAAATATATGTTCAGAGATGGAAACGTTCCAATGCAACTAATGGATAATCTTCGCCTAAAACATCGCCGAAAATCTGAACAGTTTCATTTGGGATTAAGATAGCTTAACTAACAGAGACCGAGGAGGCGCACATTTGCTTGAAAACTTGGTACTTTCCTCGTCCCGAAGTTGAATACGCTCATACGTACTTGTCACTAAGACGAGAAAACTCTTTGTTGGTAATGACTTTACGGAGTGAGCCTATGGGAAGCAATCCACGTATGTCCAAGCACATCCGCGTTCACATATATATTTAGGAGTGTGCTCTATAAAAAAGAAAACTTATACCCTGTAACCATTTACAGCTTGAATAGGTGAATGGTTTGCTTCAGTTGGCGTTTAACTAAGTACCCAGTTCATTCGACTGCACAGACCTCGCTCAAAGCAGTAATAACTTAATTATCACTCAGCATGATCTGAGCCTTTCATGAGATCCGGTAACGTACTTATGAAGAGCTAAACAGGCGCTGTTTCGCCCTGCCAGGCTCTGCAGTTGTGCGGTGCCTTTCGATTCAGCAGATCCCTTGCAGGGGAAGACACCCTTACTTATAAAGGAATCGAGGCCCAAAATCAAATCATCGCAAGTCAGGTGATGAAATTTGGCATCAACATAAATAGATGAGAGGCGTTGGAATCTAAATTTTGAGCTACTGAATGATTACTTATAGGTTAAAAAAAGCTCTGTTCAGCGGAAAAATGTGCGTGTCAAATATGCTCTTGTTTTGAACTTTTCAGCGTCATAAAAGAGCCTATAGAAAACATCGCTTGTTTGTAGGGATTTTTGGAGACTTGAGCTTCCTAAAGATTATTAACAACTTTTACGAGAACTTCTTGGCGAGCGTATGGGATAGGCTTGAAAATCTGTGCTACCAAATGTGGAAAAACCAAAATCTGTAATGACAAAATCGGCCGAATCAAAAGGCACCGTACTACTAAGGAGACTAGAAGGACGAAACAGACGCTTGTCTAGTACTTTATAGGTGCCAATCCACACCTCATAAAACGCTGAAACATGTTAGGTAACTGTATGTATCTGCCATCGTGCCATCGTGCCAGCCTTCCAACTAGGGGTCAGGAAATGTGGGTACTGTACTCGAAAATTTCTGGAGAAAAGTATTTTCCAACATGTACTATCCTTGATGAGCAGGTAGGTATGAGATTCTGAACCGGCACCTCGAAGAAACAAAAATTTGAATCCGCTGTTGCATCTGTCTGGCATAAATGTTTATCAGAAGTTACTAGTTTCTGGCAGTGTATGTTAGCAGCTTTCCGCACGCGATTCTTCCCCACACAGATCACGACGTCAAAGCATTTTGTGAAATTGATTTGTCACCTAACATCCATCGTCTGTCGGTCATCGAATTTTTGCCTGTAGATTCAACTACTGCTTGAAAATCTCTATCTTCTTCATAATCGCCCTTCCATGTTGACAGACTTACTTTCGAGATGTCTTGAATTAGCCCTGCTAGAACATCAGTTCGATAGCGGGAAGTGGAGTTAACAAGTCTTATACCAATTTCGCAACAAACGAGAGATGGTAAGATAGATCTCAAGTCAAGTAAATCAGTGGTAAGTCTTTCAGGTTCAAACCAAGATTGCGTTTGTGCTTAATTTCATCGTTACTACTGCTTTAGGGCCGTTCTAACTTTAACAATAATAGTTTGAACTATTGCAATCTTCCCAACAATAAAGATTAGAGGGCGTTCTATGTGATGAAAAGAATAGTCCCAATGAAATTTCCAAAAAGCATACCGTCATTTCAAATTGATATAATTAATGAATATGTTCTCAGATTATCAAGCTAAGTGAGGTTGTTTTGACGCATTCGGTCGTTAATTCAACCTTAATGCCTTTTCAGAGCTTGATTATTTCAAGTCGACGGCCCACCGTTTTTCGCCGTTCCAATGTGCGTGTTAGCATTTAGGTCGGGTCTTCTGCTTAAAACAGTACTTGAAAAAGTCTTCATAGGAGAGCCCTCTGCAGAGCAATCGTTTATCTATTGTCGTCCACTTTGACCTGCTTGCATGTTGACAACTAGACACGCAACAATGGGTCATATACTACCTAGCAAATGGAGAATTGACGATTTTTTGA